GGGGGAGGGAAGAGGGAGCTAGAAGAAAGAGAAGGGGAGAAGAGGATGGGAGAGGAGGACATGAGAGAGCAGAAGATCTAGTCGGGGAAGAATAGAGGAGAGCAAGAATAGAGATACCATAATATAGGGAGCCATTATAAGTTTAAAGATAATTCTGGCACTTAGGAAATGTCCAGAGATCTACAAGGTTGACCCAACTAAAATCTAAGCAATAATGGTGAGGCTACTTTAAATGCCCTTCTCCAATAATGAGATTGATGACTACCTTATATGCCATCCTAGAGCCTTCATTCAGTAGCTGAGGAAAGCAGAAGCAGATGGCCACAGCTAAACACTGAGCTGAACTCTGGAGTCCAGTTACAGAGAGGGAGGAGTGATGAGCAAAGGGGTCAAGACCAGACTGGAGAAACCCACAGAAACAGCTGACCTGAACAAGGGGTTGTTCATGGACCCCAGACTGATAGCTGGGAAACCGGTATAGGAATGTTCCAGACCCCCTGAATGAGGATGTCAGTTTGGAGGTCTGGGGAATCTATGGGGCTTCTGGTAGTGGATCAGTATTTATTTGTTTCTAATTTAAAATTGGTCTAATTACAATTATAAAAATAAAAATAAAAAACCAGGAGTGTTTCTAGAAGGAAATAAGAGTTTAGAGGTGTCCTCATTCCCCCTAAAACAAATCATAAACTTAATATCCAACCTTGTGTGATCTTCCTAAAGATACTGAGGACACAAAGTTTGAGCTGTGTATTGTACTGAACCATCATCATCTCATTGGCTGTGTCTTTTCTCTTTTTTATTTTTTCAAGACAGGGTTTCTCTAAGTAGTCTTGGCTGTCCTGGAGCTTGCTCTGTTGACCAGGCTGGCCTTGAACTCATAGAACTGCCTGCCTCTGCCTCCTGAGTGCTAGGATCAAGGGAATGTTCCACCACTGCCCGTCAATGAATGTGAAGATGCTGCCTCCACACCCATCTGTAGAAGATAGAGAGAGCAGGAGGATTTAATAACATTAGGCTTTACTGAATGGAGTCAAGCCAGGATAGTCATTTGAGTTTTGACTAGGGTGTTGTTATTGTTGTTTGTGTTTCTTGATTCAATTTGAGGCAGGGTCTCATTATGTGATTCGGGATGGCCTTA